ACATCCACCCACAACCACACCCACCCACCCACACCCACACCTTGACACGCACATCCACTCACAACCACACCCACCCACACCCACACCCACACCCACACCCACACCCACACCCCACCCTACCGATTTTTGAGAAAAGATATTTATAGAGGTATTTCGACGCAATGACTTCGAGTCTGATGTTAATTTTTGAAAATTTTTATAGACAAGGGACCATTTTACAAAAAAGTTTTTTTTATATAAAATTTGACGAAACAGTTTTTGAGGTCGAGGAACACGAATCCGATGTTGGTGTATGCAAGTTATATAAGCAAAAGGTGCCATAGCATTGTAGAACACCATTTCTACGAGAAAGAGCTAAGCGAGTCCTTAGACGAGCGTTACTTGTTGGATAAAAATAAAAATCGCGATCGAAAAGCAGAGATTTTTATCAAATTATTCTATAAGTTTTGGTTCCGTAGACAAGAAGATGCGGACCATACAACGCAACGACTGTAGCTTTTTGTTAACAGGAATCTTATAATACTAAAAAGAGTGTAATTGACTGTCATTCTTCTTGTTCGAATGAATATCTGATATGATGCTTCTTTCGATTCGTGTTCATAGAATACTGAATTTGTCGAAAAAATGAGTGATATTACAACGAAAGTAATTGCTTTTGTGTCTCTTGTGATTGTCCAGATTGGTGTGTCACTCATCTACAAATTTTCGCAAACTAATGGAAAATATTCTTATTCGACTATTTCTGCTATAACTCTGGCAGAAGTTATCAAACTTTGTATTAGCTTAAACATGGCTTTTTTCTTTGCGATTTCAACGGCAGAGATTCCGACAAACTCAACCTTCTGCAATAAATTAATTTCATGCCGACTTTTATTTCAACAACAACTGGATCGAAAATTTCTTGCACACACATTTGTTCTTGCATTTTTTTACTGTATCAATAATCAAATAGCGTTTATCCTGTTTCAATATATCGATATCGTCACAATTTCATTATTCAAGTCATTCACTTCATTCCAGTCAGCTATTCTCCTGTGGTGTTTCTTCCAGCGCCCTATAAATCGTGTACAATGGAGTTCAATTGTTTTACAAGTGATGGGCCTTATTATTGTTCAATATGACGTAACTAAAAAGATGCCACTACTAGAAGCAAAACTCTATGCTATTCTGCTTGGAAGCTGTTTTCTAACATCTGTCTGTTCTGTATGGAATGAACATCTATTAAAGAATTATTTAGTAAATCTTCACATTCAAAATACCGTATTATACAGCTTCGGTACTCTAATCAACCTAACAACTTTCATCATTTTCTATACCCAAAATGAGAATTATTCCAAAGATTTTTTTGAGGGATATTCCATATTTCCAGTTGCAGTTGTATTGTGTAATTCAATATTAGGCCTTGTTGTAAGCGCTGTGTATAAATATGCAGATGCAATTATCAAGACGTTTAGTTCTGCGTGTGCTACTGGAGTTTTGTTATTTTTCAACTGGTATTTTTTTGGTCTTTCAACGAATTTAATAATGACTCTAGGTGCGGCGATCATATTTATAGCGTCATACATTTATTTTTCCGCTACAACCAAAGCAGTCGTCGTATGTACTGACGATTCAGCTTTAAATAATTCACAAACGGCCGAATCTCCTGTTACTCAACCTACCGAACAAAATCCGACGTTAACGAAAAAAATAAGCCAGTGTTCATCATTCCGTTTTTCATGTGCACAATTTTTAATAATATCATTGATTTCAGTTTTATTAGTCGTCTTTATTTCCTTTTCTTCATTACGACAAGGACCTTTCCTCAGATCATATGCTCTCAATCCTTTGGATCAATTAATTTCTGCTAGTAAACCAGTTATAATTAGTGTGGATACCTATCGACTTAATCGATCAATAATTATTCGCGGAAAACATCTTTGTTATAATAACAGCAAGAACTCAATAAGGATATTTATTGACTCGAAACATTGTTTTCCTATCGAACTGTGCTACGATGCCATGATATCGTGTTATGTCGAAAGATTCATTTTTGAACTATCATCACAGAAACAAGTGAATATAACTATAACTCGAATAGACTCATTAAGTCAAATCTCAATGACATCGGCCGTGAATGTCAATCTAACGCGAAAGTTTTTAAGTTATTGGGAAAAAAACAACGTTGCTTTAGCGATCCATTTCAATAAAAATTTTTACCAGAGAATTGATTTGCTCACAATTTATCGTGAACTCTTTCCTGCTGTTATCTTCACCGGCCCAGATCCACATCCAAAAGTTCTTCATTGTCCACAAGGACACGGAGCATTATATGCATATGCATGTCTTTCACAAGTCATCAAACTACACCCTAATTATACTGGCTATTTAATGTCTCATTTCGATCTATTGCCTATTTTTCACAATCTTGAAAGAAAAGATTTGAATCGTATTTGGATACCACCGATAAGACTTACGGATCCATCAAAAGCTACTAATTGGCATTGGCCAAAGCCATCTGGAAAAAAATCTTTTGATGGATTATTTTCAACTCTTCGTAATTTTAGTCAAAATAATAGTTTATATTCAAAATATCTCGACAACTATATGAGAAAAGCTGGAAAAAATCTCACATCATCATTTTCTGATATATTTTATCTTCCAAAACGATTCGTATCCGACTGGTTCGTTTTAACCGATTTAATGTTACAGAATCATCTATTTCTTGAGATCGGTTTTGCAACTACTTCATTACTTATGACTTCAACGACTATTTCGAAAGAAATTATTCAACTCAAGGGAGAGCATTGGAGCAAAAAAGATCTTATCATTAGTCTCCACCATAAAGACAACTTAGAATTTTATCATCGTATTGACCATCAATCTAAATTACATCAGTATTTTGTGGAATCTATTGTTAGAAGATCTTTGATTAAGTAAAATCTTACTGACTATATGAATTCATCTATTCTTGATCAATAATACAAGCAATTTATTGACGCTGATCAAGGCTCATCTGCAAAAGAAAATCTTTCAATTAACAGATTTTCTGCTCATTTGAATCTTGAGGGTGTGGGTGTGGGTGTGGGTGTGGGTGTGGGTGAGTGGATTATGAG